GGCCGGGCCGACGCCGCGGGCCGCAGACTCGGGCCGGGAGCCGCGCGGTGGCGCAGCCCTGAGCGGGGCCCCGAAACCCGTCCTCCGGGAGGCCGGGGCGACGGAGGACCCGCAGGGATGCTCCGGCCTCGCGTCCCCGGTGCGGTCGGCTCGGGCTCCTCCTGCGGTCCCCGAGGGCCCGAATGCGGGACATCTGGGCCGGTGACCCCGGTGGGGAAGGGGCGCCTCCTGGCTGTGGGAGGAGGTCGCTCTGCACCTCCCGGGTGGAGGGGGAGTCGTTCGCTGGGTCATTCACTCAGTCATCCGGAGACTTGGAATGCAGCACCCCCACCAGCGGGCTGAATTGAGTCATTCATTAACTATTAGCGCTACAAACGTTTATTGAGCGCCTACTGTGTGCTTGGCTCCTGGGCTAGGAGGACAGTTCAGTGGATGTCCCTGTAGGGAAAGTGGTGGTCTCCTCAGTGCCAGGAGCTCCACTAAACATAGGCTCAGCCTACTTGGATCGGGAGTCTTTGGGTGGGGAAGGAGAAGAGTTCATTCATTCCTTTGTGGGTTGAACAAAGATTGGCTGAGCACCTACTTTGGGGAGCTCACCATACCAAGTGCACAACACACTCATTCATTCAATCAACAAACATTTATTGAGACTGTACTGGGAGAGAACAGTGAATGAAGGAGAGGGTTGGGGTGGGGATAAAATAGGATGGGGGCAGCCTCCCTACCAGTTAGAGGGAAGGAGAGATTGAGACAAGGGCCCTCCCTTGATGGGTTGCAGCCTGCTTGCATGGCTGGCTGCGAGCAGCTCATGGGCATAGAAAGAAGGTTGGATCAGCTAGTGCATTCATGGGGGGTGAGGGGCAGGTGGAAAGGAACTTGGAGCTCCTTGGAGGAAGGTGATGGGAGGAGCTGTGAAAGGCTGAGCTAATGTTCAGTGAAGCAGGTGCCCACCGATGCCCGTTCACAAGACATTTGCCCAAGCATTCAAGGGCCGGTGCACCAGTTACTCAGGTGGGTGAGGGGAGAGAGATGGCTCAGACACACCCTTCCTTTGCTGAGCACAGGAGAGGGGGGAGGGGAGGGAGGGAGCTGAAACTGGTCTGATTCACTGGAGGAGGGAGGGAGCCGCTGCCTCTAGGAATCAGAGCAGAGGTTTATAAACCAGGGTGCATGTGGCACCCCTGCACGCAGGGCTGCTCGCTGCCAATCACTGTGGGGAGCCACACCAGGTTACGTTTGGCTCTGCTGGAGACCAGGGCATGGGGTAAGTGCAGGGCCAGGATGGCTCCTCTGGGCTCCATAAGGCCAGAGTTCTTCCTGTGTGTCCTTCTGGCCTTCCGAGCTCTGCAGAGACACCTGCCCAGGGCAGAGAGAGGACGATGCCTGTGGAAGGCAGGCAAGGCAGGCAAGCCGTGGCCCTGAGGGCTGCTCTTCCCTGGCAGCTCCAGGCCAGCCCAGCTCCAGTGGAAAGATGGTGAGAACATCTCAGTGCTGGGAACAACACAACCCTGGTTCTTCTCCCCCAGGGGACAGAGATGTATGTCCCCAGGACAGGGGACAGAGCAACGCAGCCCACAGCCTGGACTAAGGAACTCATCCTGGCTTTCTCCACACTCGCTTCCAAGCCTGTGATAAAGGGCTAGTGTTTCCTGTTGCTTGAGGAGTAGGGATCTGGGGATCCACTCTTGGTTGACACATAAACCCAGAAACGGGGCCTTGGATGGAAAACAGTGGCTAGTGAAGCCTTTCTACAAAGAATTTAGTAAGAAGAAGCTGTCAGCAAACACCTATCTGTGTTGGCCATTTTTATTAGCTAGCAGATTGTACTTGATGAGTAAAATCAGCACAAGATAGGGACTGACCCCAGAGAGGGTCTGCATTCTGCCGCAGGTTGTCCCTGGCTCTGTGGTGACTTTTATCTCACACCTGCACTTCCCCAGGCAGATGGCAGCACAGCCACGCTCTCCCTCCAGAAGAATTTGCTGAGCAGGTGTCAGCTTCTGCCTTCCTGAGGTTCCCACTGCTCCCCACATGGGCTTGGCTACTAACTCTGCAGTCTACCTTTCGGGCTACAAAGAGGCGGGTAAGAGAGGTGTTCAGGTCCCAGCCTCTGAGCACCTCCTGGTGAGACGAGCATTTAGGGTTCTTCTGCCAATAGCCATGCTGGGTGGGGAGGACTTTTTTTGGCAAGTGAGGATGTAAGGAAGAGCCCAGCTCCCTGCAGTCCCCCAGGGGCATGGGCACAGCTCACAAGAAGCAAGGCTGAGGTCCACCATGACTGGATTAGGGGAGGACTTGGGCTGAGAAAGATCTCCCACATGGGTGGATACCGCATGGCGCAGGGGTCCAGTGTGCCAGGACCAGGGCCAGCCCATGGGCAAATCCCTCCATCCACGGGGTAACTGGGGATGCATGCAGCACCCCTGGCCACTGAGTCCTCTGGGTGGACCCAGCCAGGAGCCCTAATCCTGACAGATGAAAGGGAAGAGCAGCAGAGTGAGATGTAAGGCTCCCCAAAATCCCCCTCGGAGCCAGGGCACAGCACAGGCTGAGAAGCATGATGTGAGAGAGAAACCGAGGCCCGAGGGACTTAGGAAAGATAAGCCTTTCTCCTAGAAAGTCACTTGAGTATGTTTCCATTTTCACATATTAACACAAATTTCATGACTCCGAGCATCATCGATTTATCATCTTACAGTTCATGAAGGTTAAAAGTCCAAAGTGCATCTCACTAAAATCAAGGTGTGTCCACTCCTTGCTTTTCCAGGCCCCCGGGGACTCCGGCATTCCTTGGCTCCTGGCCCCACATCACTTCCCCTGTCACATGTCCTCTCCAGGGCCACAGTGGCAGCCCAGAGTTTATCAGAGCCGGGGATCCTGTTGATTTGGTACTCAGCGCCAGTGCAAACACAAAACAGAACGAAGATGTTGCCCTAATCATAGGCAGCTGCCTGGTCTCCTCAGAGACTTTCCAAGAGCTTGTCCATAGAAATAGAAAGCAGACACCAGCCCCTGGCTCGCTGCAGGCGATGGAGACCCCACCCTCTCTACCCTCACAAGGATCAAGTGCTTGAACTAGGGTCTCCCAGAGCTAGTTTGACAATGTCTTCATCTCTCGGTCACCGGTCATGAGATTTAACTTCTCAGGCTTGCCTGTCAAATGGGAGTATCTAGAGAAATGCCTGCGTCTCAGGCAGGGATGGAGGCTTTGCGGGTCAGGCTGCTAGCACAGCGCCTGGCACTTGGTGAACGTGGGGGCAGAGAGGCTGACTGGTGCTATTTATGACACTCGGGATGGCAGCGCCCTCTCTGCCTCCCCCCTCCCACTCAGAGGGAAGAGCAGTGTAAGACGGAGGAGCAGAGGTCAGCAGTTTACTGAAACCCTAGAAAGCGCCCCAGGAGGTATTGTAGCCCTTGGGATCAGCAGATCTGTTCGTGGAACCCTTCTGTGTCCTTGATGGGCGTCCCATGGGATGGGGATCTCGTGGTCTGCTGGTTCCTACAGTGAACCTACATTCGCCCAACCATCAGCATAGGCTGCAAGGCTGGCGTTTTTTGTCTTATAGGGGAGGAAACTGGAGGCCAGCATCTCTGGCTGTGGGTGGCTGGCTCAGACCTGGCTTGGATTTTTGTCACATGCCACTCTGCCTTCCTGCCCTCCAGGTCCCTCACTCTGCCCCTTAAGCGTGTGCTGAGCTCACAGTGGGGCCGCCACTCGGGACGCCTTACACCTTAAATGACCACAGAGCTTTGAGGATGTGCCCTCCGCTCAAGTCAGGGCTGCCAGCCCTGTCTTCCGTCCCAGAGGATAAGGAGTGGCGCAGGGAGGTCGATGGGACACTGGGCTCGTGAAGAGCAGCCTGAACAAGGCAACCCCCGTGCATAGGAGGTTTCTGCTTCTCTATTGAAGTGAGTCGCACAGAGCCATCCAGGGCCCAAGGCCAGTGAGCAGCTGGGCAGAGATGCAGCGAGCCAGGCTCCCGCCAAAGCCCAAACAGCTCCGGTGCCTCCAGCCTCTGGGGTCTCCAGGTGTTCAAAATACCCTCCCTCTTCTCTCTCTAACCTTGGCATCCTCGGAATCCCGAGTGGAACCTACCCATAATGCAGATTCCTGGGCCCCTGCAGGCACCCTGAGTGAGACAGGGGAGACCTCAAGGATCCATGCCTCTGCTGAGCACCCAGTGCGTTCTGGAATCTGGGGGCTTGGTGGGTTTTGTGTTCGTCTGTTTTCTTTTAACCCGAGTTGTGTGAGTCACCCACTGACCTGATAGCCCTCTTCCTCCTGGACCTCTGCCCGTGTGTCCTGTAGGACCCACTTCCGAGCCATCAGCAGGATGCTGCACCTGCAGCTGCCACGCCTCACATTCCACTCCCTGAGGACGGACACACAGGTGCCACAGCAACACAGGGTGACATTTTTGTGCCTTGCTTCTCGTTTAGGTCTGATTCCCCAGAAGCAAAACCTAAGCCAAAGATTTGAGTACAAATAATTTATCACTGACAACTTCTGCCGCAATCCCTGTGCCCTGAGTCTGAGGAATAGACCCAGGAGGGAGCTGCCTGGGTCCCTCGGCAACAACATCCTTCATCTGCACCCCGCCAGCCCCTGGCAGAGGGCACAGATGATGCTGGGTTCCAAGGCTCAGGTCACAGGCAGAACTTGGCTGGTGGGGGAGGGTGGACACAGTGGTGTCCGCTGAGGGCTCACTGTGTGTCAGGCATCACTCTGTTGCTTTTGTCCTCACTGTGACTCAACAAGGTAGGGGCTATTTTTATCCCCATTTTACAGATAAGAAAACTGAGTCTTTGCAGACTCTACAGTTTTCCCAAAGTCAAAGCAACTGGCTATGAACCCAGGTCTCCTGATTTCAAAGCCAGTGGGCTCATCTGCCTCTCCAGGGTGAGGTAGTCACCAGATGTGTCCCCTGGGGAAGAGAAGCTGCTTTATCTCAGCCATCCCCTCTGTTTATTCCCTGTTGCCACAAACTGAGTGGCTTGAAACAACCCTAAGTAATCTCACAGTTCTGGAGGCCAGAAGGCTGCCTGAGCTAAAACCAGGGGTGACAAAGCCATGCCCCTTTCTGGAGGTGCTAGCGAGTCCTTGCTGTGCTGTTCTTAGCCTCTGCCTTGACAAACGGCATACTGGAATCACCCCATTCTTTTCTCCTCTCACCGCAAGCCCCGTCCTTCTGCAAGTGCTGCTGGCTCTCCCTCCAAAGTGCATCCCGAACCCCTTCAGGTCTCTGCTCCCCCAGCACATACTGGGGGGCACCCCAGCTCCACACTCAGCCCCTGACACCCCACAGAATAAAGCCCTGCTCCTTACAGAGGAACCGGCCAAGTGTATCTCCTCCCACCTCCGCCCTCACTTGGCCCAGTTTCACCGCCTTCTCTCTGGTCTTCACGGTGCAAACCCCTCTCGAGTCAGGGAACAAGCTCTTGCTGCTCCTTCTGCTTGGCAACACCCGCCCCCCCAGCATGCATGGGGTAGGTCCTCCCGTCACCGGGCTCAGCCCTCTGTCCCCTCCTCCAAGAAGCTCAGCCTGATGCCTGCAACTAATCTTGCCCCCACCTGTGTCATTCCCCATCTGTCACCTTGCACTGTTCCAGCACAGTGCTCGCTACCTCCAGCAGTTACCAGTGTACTTATTTGGAGACCATCTCTCTCTAGAAACTCAACTCCAGAAGTACAGGGTTGAGATCTGTCCCAGCACAGCCGCCTGCATGTGGGAGCGTTGAGGGAAGGAAGAAAGGAAAGATGGATGGACGGGCAGACAGACAGCTCCCACAGGACTCCCCTCATCCCCACCCACACAAGCTCTTTCCCAGGTAGCGTCCTCCACCCAAGCATCCAACCATCATAGCCCGAAGAGGCAAAAGCTGAGGAGCCCACCGCGCTGCAGGGCTGGAGAGGAGACGCCTAGCTTCTGGGGTGGAGCTGAGCCTGGGTGAAAAGCTACGTCATTGCCCCACAGGCTGTAGGACCTGTTTGAGTAATGAGCTTGACTCTCGCTAGAGATGCCAGGCCTGGCACCCACACATGTCAGGTTCGAAGCCAGGGAGAATGTCCCCCATTCTGCACTGAGCGGATTCCAGCCTGTGACCCTTCCAGGCCCCCTGGCTTGGGGGGAGCGTCCCTGTGGTCCCTCCAGGGAGAGGAGAGGAGCCGCTCGAGTCCAAGCAGCCACTGGGGCAGGGTGACTGCCCAGGAAACACTGGAGACGGGCGAGGGAGGAGCGAGGCACTGCTGGCCTTCTGCGGGAGGGCCGCGGGGAGGTGGGAAGGAGATTCCTGGAGAGAGGAGGTGATCACAGGCTGGGGTGTCACAGCAGGCACCCTCTGGGACTTGGGGGAAGAAGGATGTTCCTTTACTTCTCTCTCTTGCCAAACAGAATGTCATTTTCCTCTGTCTTTGATGGCAACGCTAAAGCAGCACTGAGAAGCGGTATCACTCGGTGAAGTGCCTGTGAAGGATTATTCCCACGCCTCCCAGGGCTGCTGGCAGGCTTTGCCACAGGAGACGGGTTCCAATTTTAGGTAGAGTGAAAAGCACACGCCACACTCTGAAACCCAGTCGTTTTTTGTTCCAAACACAGGTGTACCCCCGTTTCCCAAATCCTGGTCTGTGAACTGGCTTCCCCAAAGATGAATGAGTGTGACCATCCTGGTGAGGAAGGAGCCCCCCTTCAAGTGGGGGGACTCTCCCCACCCCGGACTGCTGCGAGAAGTTTCCCATCCATGCAGGAGTGTGTGTGTGTTTCCCCTGGACCTCTCCCTGGCACCTACTGTCACTGCAGGATTGGAAATGGGCTGCCATTTGGAAATCCGTGAACACGGGCACTACCATTTGCTCCCACTAGGGGGCGGGATAGGGGGAGGGTAGTAATTTTAAAAAGCAAAGTATTCGGCTCTTCTGTGTATTTTCTATGCAGCAGCCTAATTCTGCGAAGCTCTGTAGGATAATCTTGAGCTCTCAAACCCAGGTGCCTGCAGGACCCAGAGAGAAGACAGGGGAGTGCAGCAGAGCCCAATAGGAGCAGAGAGCACGGTGGTGGGTTGGAGCTTGCAGGCCCTGCCCGTAGGGACAGCCATTTCTCTGTTGGAATTGGGGCCCAGTGTTGCCAAATACTCTAATTTTTCAAAGAAGCCAAGGATACGGATTTTTACATGAAATTTCTCAATTTTCAGAAACTTCTTCAAGCCAAGCAAAATACGCATTAACTAAACTCAGTCCGTGAGCTGGTAATGAATCTGCCATCACATTCTAGTAACACCCTTATCTTTGGGGACTGAGACGAAAAGTGTCTATATGACCGATATTTTGACCTCAGTTTCCCAGAAGTGCTCTCACACTGTGGGTCTCATCAACAGGAAGAGTATTCATTCAGCGAGCACTTCCTGGAGCTCTTACATTGCCGGGCCCTGGGATTCAGAGACCAGCAAGGCCCCATACTCCCCAAAGGAGTGTGAAATCAAGGAGCCAGGCTTGCACAGGAATCATTCTAGAAGTGGGTGGCGAGTGCCTGAATACTAATGTGCCAGTTTAAGAGGGAAGGAGGGCAAGCATGGCTGTGAAGTTCACCCCAGGGCCTCAAGGTGACCTCTGTTGATGCCCAAGCAAACAAGGCATTGTTCTGGTAATTGTGCGTTTCTTTGTCTACTGCCCACTGTTACGGCAAGACACAGCTGTTTCCCATTAACAGCAACAATTGGAGGTGTCCCTTTAAGATGAATCCTAACCGCAATAAATAGTAAACAGCATGCCTGCAAACCCTCCAGGTGCCCACATGGACACGATCCACTTAATGCTCTCAATAATCTCCAGAAGTGGGTCATGTGGCTGTACCCGGTTCACACTGAGGAAATAGAACAAAACTGTGTTTAAGCAACTCCCCCGGGCCCTGTGGCTCCAAAGCCTCCTGCATGGCTCCCATCCCAGGGCTCTGCTGCCTGGGCCTCATGGCTGTTTGGTATACAGGGCTGTCAGGTACTCTAGGACATTTAGCAGATCCCTGGCCTCTACCTTCTCAATGGCAGTGCCATTCTCCAGTCATGGAAATCAAAACTGCCTCCAGGCATTGCTGCATGGCCCAGGGGGACAAACTCAGCCTTAGTTAAGAACCACTGGTCTACACTAAGCTGCCTTTCCATGCTAAATAAATTCCAAATATAAGCAAGTAAATACAAGTAGGGTCCATTTAAAATAAAGTATTAAGTAGGTAACAGTGCAGGTATGGCCAGGGGTCCACCAGGATGCCAGCTCTTAGGCATTCAGTGGTGCCCAGCCCTGCCCTAGCATAAAGGAGTCAGGACTGGGATTGTAGAGTGGGGTGATGCCCAGAAATACTGTTGCTATGTTCACTCCAAGGTCAATGTCTCAGTCCCAAAGTACCGAGGCTGCCTGCACCCACGGGCATTTGTTTCTCACGGTTCTGAAGGCTGGAAGTTGGAGAGCAGGTGTCCGCAGACTGGGGTCAGGAAAGGACCCTCTGTGGGGCTGCGGTCACCCAGTTTCTCACTGTCCTCAGGAGGCCACGAGGAACTCGGAGTCCCTTCCTCTTCCGGGGTCACAAGTCCCCACCTCCACCCGGGGGTCTACGTTCCCATCCTCCTCCACCCTGGTCACCCCCAGAGCCTGCACCTCCTAATCCCATCATACAGGGTTAGGGCTTCGGCCTGCGGGGGGACACGCGTGGGGCCGCACCTTGAGTGCACAGCAGTGAGTGTCCACGAGGGGTCACCCAGGTCTTTCCTCCCTTCTCCCCCTCAGGCCCCAGAGGGATGTAAAGGCCCAAAATGACCCTGCTACCGGGAGACAATTCGGACTACGACTACAGCGCCCTGAGCTGCACCTCGGATGCCTCCCTCCACCCCGCCTTCCTCCCGCAGAGCCAGGCGCTCAAGGGCGTGTTCTACCGCCGGGCACAGCGGCTGCACCCGCAGGACACCCCGCACCCCGGCCCCCCGGGCCCCGCCGACCGTCGGCGGCAGATCATCATCAACGTAGGCGGCATCAAGTACTCGCTGCCCTGGACCACGCTGGACGAGTTCCCCATGACGCGGCTGGGCCAGCTCAAGGCCTGCACCAACTTCGACGACATCCTCAACGTGTGCGATGATTACGACGTGACCTGCAACGAGTTCTTCTTCGACCGCAACCCGGGGGCCTTCGGCACCATCCTCACCTTCCTGCGCGCCGGGAAGCTGCGGCTGCTGCGCGAGATGTGCGCGCTGTCCTTCCAGGAGGAGCTGCTCTACTGGGGCATCGCCGAGGACCACCTGGACGGCTGCTGCAAGCGCCGCTACCTGCAGAAGATCGAGGAGTTCGCTGAGATGGTGGAGCAGGAGGAGGAGGACGACGCGCTGGACAGCGAGACCCGCGACAGCGAGGGCCCCGTGACTGGCGAGGGCCGCCTGAGCCGCTGCATGCAGAGACTGCGCGACATGGTGGAGAGGCCGCACTCGGGGCTGCCGGGCAAGGTGTTCGCCTGCCTGTCCGTGCTCTTTGTCACTGTCACCGCGGTCAACCTCTCGGTCAGTACCTTGCCCAGCCTGAGGGAGGAGGAGGAGCAGGTAAGAGCCTGGCTGCGGTGAGGGAAGGGCCTGCGGGGTCACTCCCTCTCACGCCCCTCAGCCCACTGTTGCCACTGCCTCCAAGAGGCCTCCCTGAGGCAGGCAGCCGAATGGCATCCCTGGTCCTCCTGGCGTCGCGCTGTGTGTCAGTGTGATTGCATGCACGCTGTCTGCCACCCTGTCCCCGTGTGACTGTCCCGGGCTCCACTGTGTCCTCAGCTCTCCAGGATCACGTGCAGGGCAGAAGAGGCACTGTGCCTCTGCTGTCAGAGGCGTGGGTGAGGTTACTGACCATGCACCTGGCCCTGGCTAAGCACAGTGCACGCGCCATGGACGCTGTCTTACCCACTTGAGTCTTGTCTCAGCCTCCCTAACTCCCTCACATAACAACATCCCATAAAAAAGATCGCATCTTCCCGGGTGCGGAAAACGATTTTTATCGTAGGTATGTGCATGTGTGCACATCCCCAGATGGGAAGCTTGAGCACATTCTTTTGAAGGATGTGTGTATCAACTCGCAGGCCCCAGGCGGCTGCACCTCCACCGGAGGTGCCCACCTCCCCAGCAGTCCTGGGAGCCTGCTTGGGCTCCTGCCTCATCCATCTTTTGTCTTTTCCCGGATCCTGCAGTAACCTGCAGGGGAGGTGCATTCACTAAACAGAGAAGCTCACTGAGGCAGGTGTGGCAGCCCCCACACCCAGTGTGATGGAATCCACAGTCTGTTCTTAAACGTGGAAGTGTGCACCCCCTGGCAGCCTGGAGACCGAGTGTAACCCCACAGAAGTCTGCCGTTGGCCTGCACCGCATTTCCCAAAACTCTGACTTGGCTGCGGCCTTTAAAATGAGGTGCCAGCTGGGTAGGGTGGTGCATGCCTATGTAACCCTAGTAGTCTGGGAAACTGAGGCAGGAAGCTGGCCGGCACGTTCAAAGCCAGTAAGGACACCTTAGCAGCTTAGCAAGACCTTGTCTCAAAAATGAAAAATGAAAAAGGGCTGCAGACACAGCTCAGGGTGAAGATGCCGGGTTCAGCTCCAGCATCACAAAAAGCGGTGTGTGTGTGGGGGGGGGGGTTCATTTTAAAATACATACTCTAAGTTCCTCTGAAAAATTACAAGGTCAGGTCTCTGAATGTAGCTCAGAGGTAGAGTATTTGCTTAGCAAGTGCAAGGCGCTGGGTTCACTCCCAGCACATATACATACATATATATGTAATCTCCATCCATCCCCTGGCCTGCAATCCTGTTTGACAGCCTTAAGAGGGAGCCAAGCCCATAGAGGGTACCCCTCCTAGTTCAGGCTTGTTGTGTATTAGACCCCTGGTTCTTTGAGATGTGACCCCTTAGAAGCAAGTTTTAGAAAAACCAGAAAGTCTCCAACAGGAACAAATTGTAGACGTTTTAAAAACTAGGTATGACAGTGTGAACTGAAGGCAGAACACATGGGGCCGGCGTTTATTGGGCGCTGGCTGTATACCCTGCATTTGCTATGGGTTTCATGTGCATTCTGTGGCCTAGCGTGGGAGGTGCTCACCATTCGAGGTCTCCCACAGGCAGAGATTATGGAGGAGGATGCCACAGTTGGTGCATTTATAACCTACAGAGATGTGCTGGCATGATTTTTAGACTGCATTTTTTTAAAAGGCTACTAAGAAAACAGTGCTCAACCAACAAAATGAACTTTTGATAAGCCTAGAGGTCACAGCAAGGACCAGGCCACCTGAAGCAGAACCCCATCTTGTCCACTCTGGCCGTGTAGCCAGGGGCAAGTTTCTAGGCCCCTCTGTGCCTCTGCACCTCCACCCGTCAGGGGAGCTTCGAACAGCCTGTGAGGCGGCCGCAATAGCGCCTGGCCCATGTGTGTATAGGAAGTACAGGCTCCAAGGATTCACACGTAACTGCTGCCCAAAGGGCGTCACTGCCCTGTGACATCTGGCTGGCAGCCCAGGGACCTCGTACCGATTCCTTCCTTCCTCTTTCCTGTGGAGCTGGAGATGGAACCGGGGTGCTGTGTGTGCTTAGTAGGTCCTCTGCTGCTGAGCTGCACCCGCAGTCCTGACACCGCGTCTTCAGTCCCGGCCTGTGAGAGAACTCAATCAGCTTTGCTGCTTTTCGGCATCATTCGCAGGCCAGCAGCATCCACAGTTCACTGGCGTCTCCTGCCCACAGCTCAGTGCCTCTGCTTGGTGCACTGCAGGGTGACTATGATAAATCTACTGGGGCTGGATGGGGTGTGACACCCCAAGCCCCAGGACCGGGTGCATGCCAAGAGGGCTCTGTGTGAGACACCCGTGGCCGCTAGAGCTGCTCAGAGGGGTGCAGTCCAGGGAGGCTTCCACATCAAAGCCCAAGTGTTCATGTGCATCTCGGCCTCCAGCACGTCTCTCGAGACGTAGCAGAGGGTCATGGAGCCCAGCTGTGCCCAAGAGCCTAGTGGGGGCCGCAGACGGGGATCTGTGTACCTTTCCTCGCTGCCAAAGTCTGCTTTAAGGCTGGGGTCCAAGTCCACTGAGAGCTGTCTACTGTCCAGTTATTCTGCAGGCCAAGCGGCTCGCATGCCAGATCCAGTGTGAGGCTGTTTCCTGGCCCGTGCTATGTTCACTCTGTACTGCATTTTGTCACCAGCACTTGAATCAACATTTTATCTGTTTAACCAACAGTTATCGCCAAGGGATTTCACATAAAACTGCAAATTTCCAGCTTCTCTTAGAAGCTTCAAGGCAGCCTTCACCTGAATCCCTCTGGGGCAGAGTTAGGGGCTCTCCAGTGGGATCTCTTCCTCCCCTCATCTCCGTGCTTCCTTCGCCTACCTGGTCCCTCGTGGTTCCCAGTCACACACACACACACACACACACACACACACACACACACACCAAGCTTCTTCTATTCATTCCTGTGCAGCCATGTGGCAAACACCTGCCTGCCGTGTGCTGGGCCGGCACTGGGGGCCGGGCAGTGAGCAGAGCTTGTGGCCTGCCCTGCGCTTAGGGCTGCAGTCTGCTGAGGAGCAGGGAGGCGGGGACAGACCATGAGCAGGGACACAGGTCACTCTCAGAGCCTGTGAAGATACCTGAGCTCTGTGAACAGACAGCAGAATATAATGCAGGGCTGGGGTATGAGAGAGGGAGGGGATCTTAAAGAGGGGTCACCGGTCTCCCTGAGCAGAGCCGATGGAGCACAGAGCTGGAGGAGGAGAAGGCAGGAGGGAGGCGGCTGTTTGGGGGAAGGGGGACCTCAGAGTAAGCAGAGTCCAGGCAGAGCTGAGGATGAGCCGGTGTCAGAGCAGTGACGGGAGCCTGAGGTGGAACAGGTGAGCAAGGAGAGGAGAGCAAGGAAATCAGAGGGGAGGGATGGACGATGGACAGATGGACAGAAGGTTGGCTCGACAGATGGAAGGACAGATAGATAGACCGTGTGCTCCGTACAGCAAGGAAGGTGTCAGTTGCTCTCAGGGCCATGGAAGGTCCCCAGCAGAGGGCGACTGGGATCCCATTATGTCGATGTCGCTCCCGGCTGGCAGGAAGGACACACGACAAAGTCTGGCAGTGGACAACCTTTTCTTTTATTTTCCTTCTCCGTACAGCCTGCCCTGGGATCGCTCCCAGCCGAAGCCTCCTTTGGTCCGCTCCCCGCGGCTCCTTCTGGGCTTCTACTTCCGGGCTTCTTCTTCCCCCCCAGGGGTGGCACCAGTATATATACGGATACAGTGTCCAATCATGTTAAAGTGAGCAAGGCAAGCTGATTGGCTAACATCATCAGTTGCCAGGCAGACTATATTGTTGAGCGGGTTGCTTACGCGGTAAGCAGGAAACTAACGTGCTCGATGGGAGGGGTAATCTACCTCAGGCTTTGTTCTTTACTACAGGCCTCACGTCCGCCAAGTGAGGCGACCGGGCTCGGGGCTGCGGCTCCCAACACCATTAATCATCTCAGGGTCCCTCTGAGACACCGGGCTGTGGGGATGAGCGACCCCAGACAGGTGGTGACCGCAGCTGTCCAGGATCGTGGCTGGACCAGAGCAGAGCCGTGGACAGTGACTAGCATGGCTTGCTTTAGCGCTGTTTTACATGGAGAGCCAGTGAGAGGTCCTGCGGATTGTACGTGAGGCACGGGAAAGGGGGGTAAGGATGAGGTGGGGCAGCTCGAAGGATGGGACTGCCAGTGACTAAGAAGGGGTGACCATGGGGGGCAGGGCAGGAGAAGCCAGGAGCCCTGTGCTGGCCATGCCGGGTGGTGGCACCATCAGAGCCCTGGCGGATACCTGTAGCAGATGTCAGGGGGCAGCTGGTGGGGCACAGGGAGGTCAGGGCTGAGGTCTGAGTTGGAGGAAGAGGGGAGAAGCAGCCAGTATAGGCACGGTGAGTAATGCCCAGGCCCAGGAGTGGACATCACTAGAGAGAGGCCCCCAGGCCATGTGCCGCGGACAGGCAAACCCCAGTCCTTTTTCCTGTGGGCTCCCACCCAGGGCAAAGCAGCCTGCTGGGTCACCGGTGGGACCGCTGACCGCCCTCTCTCCCCAGGGCCAGTGTTCCCAGATGTGCCACAACGTGTTCATCGTGGAGTCGGTGTGCGTGGGCTGGTTCTCCCTCGAGTTCCTCCTGCGTTTCACCCAGGCGCCCAGCAAGTTTGCCTTCCTGCGGAGCCCGCTGACGCTCATCGACCTGGTGGCCATCCTGCCCTACTACGTCACCCTGCTGGTGGACGGCGCCGCCTCGGGCCGCCGCAAGCCCGGCTCGGGCAACAGCTACCTGGACAAGGTGGGGCTGGTGCTGCGCGTGCTGCGCGCGCTGCGCATCCTCTACGTGATGCGCCTGGCCCGCCACTCGCTGGGGCTGCAGACGCTGGGCCTCACGGCGCGCCGCTGCACCCGCGAGTTCGGCCTGCTGCTGCTCTTCCTGTGCGTGGCCATCGCCCTCTTCGCCCCCCTGCTCTATGTCATCGAGAACGAGATGGCCGACAGCCCCGAGTTCACCAGCATCCCTGCCTGCTACTGGTGGGCCGTCATCACCATGACGACCGTGGGCTACGGAGACATGGTGCCCCGGAGCACGCCCGGCCAGGTGGTGGCGCTCAGCAGCATCCTCAGCGGCATCCTGCTCATGGCCTTCCCGGTCACCTCCATCTTCCACACCTTCTCCCGCTCCTACCTGGAGCTCAAGCAGGAGCAGGAGCGGGTGATGTTCCGCAGGGCCCAGTTCCTCATCAAAACCAAGTCGCAGCTGAGCGGCATATCCCAGGACAGTGACATCCTGTTCGGAAGTGCCTCCTCGGACACCAGAGACAACAGCTGAACCCAAAGCACTCCCTCGCCCTGCCCGCCACCTGCGGCTTGACGCTGCTGCCATCTGCCATGGGAGACTCCGAAGGGACCAGCCGCTGCTGAGCGTGGCCCAGGGCCACCCACAGCGGGGACATCAGACCCACAGTCACAGAGGTCTAGAAGGGAAAGGCCGCTCTCCCCACCACCCCAGTGTGTCCCCCACCCCGTAAGGCAAGGGCTTATGCTGCTCGCATGTAAATAGTCCGCCCCGCGAAGCTGGCTGGTGGAGCTGCCTGGAGAGACACAGCAGCAGCTACACGTGTCTGTCTTCAGAATGGATCGTGTTCTGGCGAAGCGGGCAGGGGAGGGAGGAAAAAAACTTGCCATGCACAGGGCATCCTTAAAAGAGGAACCGGAACTGGAGGGTTTGTTGCTGGGGGCACTGAGCTGCCCGGCCCCTTTGGGCTGGACGGAGAAGGTGACCATAGACCTGTAAGATTTGTCAGTAAATGTGCTTTCCCTCGCTCGCCTCTTCATTCCCCGGGTTTGTGGGTTTGTCTCTCTTCTCAGTCCTCTGTCCTCCCTTGTATCTCAAACCTGTTTCTCTAAAGCTTTCCCCAAGGATGCCAGAGAGCCCCTAGGCACTGCTGACTTCAGAGGAAAATCACTTCATTGTAGCTCTAGGTAGCAGTTATCTAATACTACAGAAATGCTTTACCACACCCACCCAGATTGAAATCTACACCCACCATGGGGCCGCTGCTCCAGCGCAGGCTGAGCAGCACAGGGAAGCCCCCAAGATCTCCCTGTGCCCCCAAAGGTCCACAGAGCACCCGCCTAGCCCAGCTGCTCCCAACCTCAGTTGGCACAGGTGACACAGACAGCTGGATGCCAGGCCGGCCCAGAAGACTGGGCTGGCGGGGACCAGAGTCCTCCCCTTGATGCCTGGCACCCACTTGCTTCACCCCACACCCAGGGCCTGCAGCTTACCCAGCAGGCAGTGAAAACACGCTCTGAAACACATCTGATTGTGGGCTCCCTCCCCGAGTCCTCGGGGCCGCTCTTTACACAGAGTAAAGCCTAGTAAGTGCTCAGTGCACATTTATTGCCCAAAATGGAAGAATGAAGAACAGGACCCTGGGAAAGGCAGGGTCCGCAGAGCAGTCCCTCTCTGTCCCCTCCTCAGGGAGGCCCAGCTGTCAGCACCACATACCCACAGTGAGGCGGAGTGCAAATACCATTCAAGTCACGAGGGCCTCCTTAAAGGCCCCCTGACACCTGCTCCCCGTGACTGCAAAGTTTGTTTTCCGATTAATTAGCCCTCCGTGCGCAGTGCAGGGGTGTCATAGCGATTCAGTGCCACCATCATTCTGCTAGTGCCTCAGATTTATGGAGCGAGCTCTTCCCCCTTGAAGGTGGCTGGCAGTCAGGCAACTGAAAATCCTCAGCAGACAGCAGGAAATGCAGCACTTGACAGCTCAGGGCGGGCAACAGCACAGGCCGTGGGATATGGAGGATGGAGCCTGGCAGGGCAGCGTCCGGAGGGGAGGCTCCTTGCCCTCCCCAGCGGGGACAGAGGCCAGGACATGGTCAGGACTTTGGTCTCATCTTGCAAATTATGCTCTGTCCTAGTGACCAAGGCCAAGCCACAGACTAGCCACATTCAAGACCCTGCCTGGGAACAAAGGCACTGATTGTTACTGGGGCATGGGTTCAGGACTCCTTGGCCCTAGTTAAAAAAACAGAAAGGCTGGTTTTGGTGGCACATGCCTGTAATCCCAGCTAAGTGGGAGGCTGAGGCAGAAGGATCCAAAGTTTAAGCCAGTCTGGGCAACTTACCAAGACCCTGTCTCAAAATTAAATGTTAAGAAGGGTTAGGGATCTAGAGTACTTACCTAGCATGCCCACAGTGCTGGGTTCAACCCCCAGTACAGCAAAACCAAAAAGAGAAAAGAAATTGGGAGACTGGGGCCACTTCACAAGCTGCTTACAGACCCACCATCAGCTTTTAGATTGAGGCTTTTCTGCCCCCTTTTAACAAAAGAACCATTCTTGTGGGACCTGCCACAAGATGTGCAGACATCCAAACAAAAGCTGCTGTGCTTAGTCTGGGTGCAATTCCGTGCCCCCAAACTAATGGAGCCTCACTTGTGACCCTGATACAGGTAGGAAGGGCCACACAGCTCTGAGCAGAAGCCCCGCTCAGGCGGAGCAGCCCAGTGGCCTTCCAGATGCATGCTGTTTCTCGGTCACACAGTCGTGCCCCATCTCGGACTTAGCTCAGGGGTCGGGACAGCAGAGAGAGTCCCAGGCCCGCTCTGCACAGCCCGACAGGCTGAGGTGAGGGAGGCACCTGCCCCAGGACAAAACTTAAGAGTGGCCCGAAAACTCAGGCATCAAGATAAATGATATTTTAGTGCATTATTTTTAAAAATTCAAATAATGCCACCACCATGAACAAAACTATCTAAACATTAAATAAAAGCAGGGGTGGGGAGAGACTGCTACAAGCAGGATGTATCTTTGTCCTTGTGTGAGTGCGTCCCTGCCTCATCTGGCCGGTGTCCTGTCCTGATCACCTGGCGTATCCTGGCAGAGCAGCACCCTCCCCAAGGGTGACTCTAGGAAGCTCAGGCAGGAGCTTTTAGCACCTAACCCTGGACTGCTGGGGCTCTGTGCCCCACCCGCTAGAGGGGATCAGGGTGGGAAATACGAGGTCCACACGGTGATGGCAAGTGAAAACATTTGAATGTTTTTCTTCAGTACTAGGGATTTGACCCAAAGCCTTGAGCTACACACCTGGCTGAAGAAAAAAAAAAAAAAAAATGTGGCCTGGGAGAGAGTTTTGGGGCCAGGGTAAGGCGCAGGAAGCCTTCAGTGCAAAGGCCCAGTGGTAGAGAAGCAGACAGTCCGCCAGCCTTGGAGGGAGCAGCTGGCAAAGAAACATCCCCAGTGGGAAATCCTGCAGGTGGAAACTCACATGTGCGGTTGCAGAGCCCCTCTGCTGATCCAGGCCCTGCCCCAGCAGCTGGGAACCAAGCAACCAAACCAAGCAGGACACAGTAGTCCCAGTCCCTGCCCTGCAGCTGCTGATAATTTGCAATGAAAACACAAGGGAATAAAAAATATTTCCACGCAGGCGGTGTATTCCCCAGCCTTCCCGTTACTGGGGCCAAAAGGCCAACACCTGCAGTTTAAAGGAGGTGAGTTTTATTTGGGCTCCTGGTTTCCAGGGGGTTCAGTCCATGGTTCATTGGCTCCAAGGAAGAACAACATGGTAGAAGCCCTTGTTGAGGGAAGCTGCTCACCTGGACACAAGGCCCCGGGGAAGCAGAGACAGGAGGGAGGAGCCAGGGACCTTCCATGACCTCCAGGGACCGAGCTCCAGCCAGGCCCCACCTCCTAACAGCCAGGAACTCACCAATGGATGACTCGGCACACATGGATAGTGCCCCACGATCCGGCCATCTACAGCCCCACTCTGAACACACAAGGCTTCTGTGGGGCACGTCAGATCCAAGCCACAGCCTGAGGGATGGCAGGGGTCCAGGCGTTTTGGGCTCCAATTGCCATCTACTGAAATGGCCTCACACCTGTTTTCCTCCCAACACCAGTGCTCCTCTCTTGCCTCTATCCCTCGTCCCACCCTTCTGGTTCTATGGGACCTGGCCCTCAGGTGCATCCTCTTCCCCTGGGCCATTTCAGCCCCCTCTCTGGTCCTCCCGCTCCCCTTACTCTCCCTACCTATTCTGTACACAGCAGCAGTGGACCTTGGTAGTCACCTGCTCATCTCTGCTCAGAGCCTGACTCTGCCCCTTGTCACTTCCACTGGTGACTTCCCCCTCCCCGCTCCTAGTTGGTCTGGTCTCCTTGCATCCCGCCTTTATCTCTCCTTTATAGCCATACAGACTATTCACTGAACAGACCCCAGGGCCTTTGCACTTGCTATTGTCTTAGCCCAAAAAACTCTGCCCACATTACCTATTTGTGTTCTTCACTCTGCTTAGATGTCACTTAAAACAAGAGAGGTCTCCTCTGGCTCCCTGAGCACTGCATGAAAGACAACATTCCCAGCAGGTCCCCAGAATATCAACTGTTGTTTTATTTTCCATATTCTGATGCTGTGACCCTAGGTGTGCTCCTGCCAGGGGTAGAGTGACCCTCCTGGAGTAGCATGCTTGTGACACGCAGCCCCACACCCAGCCACTCTTGGATGGGGCCCTCACACTCCAGAACGCTGTGCACTGCCCTCACCATCCCAAGGCCAGGCACCCTGCCACTGGGTGGCACTGCCCTCACCATCCTAAGAGCTGCTGGATTGTTGAGATCAGCCAGTCCTCAGCCAGCTCACCCTGCTGCCCCAGCTCTTCCCCAGGGGAACCACAGTCAAGGCTCCCGACCTGGACACAAGGCCCTCCACCTCCTAACTGACCCCGAAATTTCCCTGTGTACTCCTGTTCCATGGCCAGGCACGCGCCCACCTCCTGGGCACCATGAGCACCGAACTCTGTCCCTCCGCAGTCGTCTTCCGATCTCCTGTCGTCACCATCGGCAAATGAAAATTAAATCACTACTTTAACTCTCCCTGGCCTTCCTTATCCTTCCCTAAATCCCTTACACCAAGCCACGCGTACAGACTTCTATGCCATGGAGCCCACCAAACCTTAACTGAATCAGCAAGACCCATCCTTCTGTAGTGAGCCCTACAGCGCACGCGCACGCACACTCACGTGCGCGCACGTACACTCACGCACACCGTCCCCACGCAAAGGCGCAGTGGCAAGTAGGGAAGGGCCACGCCCATTGGCTGATCCCACGGTGACGGTGATGGCGGACGGACGGTCCTCACTCCCACGTCACCTGATGAATTCTGCTTGGAAACAACCTCCGCCACCCTGAACCTCCGTTTCTTTTGAATTATAGCTACTGTGGAACTGGTGTTTGCAACCATAAAGTAGAGCCCGAAAGAGCCTTTTCATTTGCTTTTGAAAAAAGAACATGCTGTTTACCCAAATGACCTATAAACGTCTAAGCTCGCTCTGTTGAAATAGATTTAAGCTACCAACTAGCCTTGCTTTAAAAAAAAAAAAATGATAGCACTAGATCCTGGGGCTGGGTGACTTGGCAGCCGTTGCCCGTCTGCCACATTTGTTATTATATATGTGAGGGACCCAAAAAAGAAGAAAGGCTGGGATTGAGCCTAGGACTTCATAAAGTGCTTAAGCAAGTGCTCTACCACCAAGTTACATCCCCAGCCCCTTTTACTTTTTATTTTGAAACACGGTCTCTAAATCTCTCAGCCCAGGCTGGGTCCAAACTTGTATCCTCCTGCCTCGGCCTCCCAAGTAGGTAGGCCCAGGTGCCACTGGGCTAATTTAGAATCATTCTTTTGTTGTTGTTGTTATTTTTTTTATTTTAAAGAGGATAAAAACCAAGGTAAATAAAACAATAAACCAATCAAAACAAACCAGTGTAAGTGATATAGGGCTTCAAAGCATTACAAAATCAGTAATGGTAACCATCATGCCTTTTGTTGTCTCCAAAACAGCTGCAGGTAACTTCAGACATAGTAAAAATCAAGCAGAACAGAAGAATAGAAACAATGAAAGCAAAACAAAGAATGCTATAAAGGATTTCAAAACAAGCCAATAGTAAATCCAAAATGGCTACCACAGTATATCTTGCTATCTTTGAAACAGCTGCTCCTGCCATTGGCTTTGACATAAACAAAAGACAAACCCAACCCAACAAAACAATGAAACGATATAGGACTTCAAAACAAGACCATAGGGACTCAACAACGGCTACCACCCCCTAAGGGAGACCCTCCCAGATGCTGCGCTGCATACCGCTATCCTCTGAACCTGTGATCAAATCACTGGCCCTACATCTGCAAGGTCAGTGAAACTCCAGAGCACCACAGCCATCCAATTGCATTTCGCCTCCATAGCTGTCATCACAGCCTGTGTCTCTCTGATCAGCTGGTGGTTTATGGTATGTGTTGGGGGAGGGGGGTGTTGGTACTTCTTATTTGCCAGCCTGTACCCTGGAAGGGGCTGGGCTCTGGCTGTCCCCATTCCACTGGCAATGGATGCATGGCACCGGTTCCCAGGCAGGACTTGCTTCCTGGTGTGGCCTTGTTCTCTCCCCCCGTCCGTCAATGGTGCTGATTCGAGGAGAGCAGAATCATTCTTAATGCCATCCATTTAACCAGAACAGTTCCTCAATGAACAGCATCTGTTTATTATAAAATGCAGTAGGGCACACACCGTGGTGCACACTGTAATCCCAGCACTCGGGAGGCTGAGGCAGGAGACTGTAAGTTTAAGCCTAGCTTGGGCAACTTAAGTAACTTAGGAAGACCCTGTCTCAAAAATAAAAATAAAGGGGAAAGGGGGCTGAGGATGTGACCAGTGGGAAAACCCTGAGTTCCATCTGCAGCACAGCGATGGAGTCAGAAAGACAGACACACAGACAGTGCAAAGAGAATGACATAGGAAGTGCCTCACTTTAGAAGTTCAGGGATCTTTTGCAGTTAACCCAGTTCTCCAGCAGTGCGGGGAGCAGGCCCAACTTGTCCTGTGATAGGTGAGCAGAAGTTTGGCTCAGAGAATTAACAGAGAGGCCCACTGAAAGCAGACCCCCAAACAGCCAGAGCTGGATAAAGGAGACTTGAGGTGTCCTGTCAGCTCCCCCACCTGCCAAGCAAGGAGCAGTACTAGCCCTGGACTCCAGGGTGTCGGGGACAGCTACAGGTGGCTGGACTCAGCAAAGATCAGGTCTAAAGAGGAAATAAGTCATCGCCACTGTGTCTGTGGACTGTGGCTTCTAGACAGCCCTGGCATTGGGGACAGCACTGCTGGTTGCTGCATGAATGCCATCCCCTTGCAAATAATCCCTTGAGCCCCACCTCAGCCCCTACCTCCAGGGAATCAGGCAACCAAACTGTGATGGCCAAGAATGCCCCGGGTGGCCCATCTGAAGGTTCCCAGTGCCTAGGTGGGTCCAAGGGTACAGCGCTGAGGGCTGACTCACTCAGCCATCACCAGTGACCTACGGGTTCAGATGACAAGGACCCAGGCTGCCAGGACCGAATGGGATGCCGGGATACTTCCTCAAGCGGTCAGCGCTCCACGCTAACCCCGGAAAAGGCCAGGAAAACTGGGGGGAGGCCAGGAGTTCTCTGCGTGCAGCAGGAAGTGTTCCTGGCTGATGGGATGTTTTTCCAGTACCAGAGATGGAACCGGGGCCCAAGCGCTCTGCCACTGACTCCATCCCCTGCCCCCACTGGTGGGTGGGCTCTCACCCGTTTACCGCAGAGAAACTCGGACCCGGAGCCAGAGCTGTTCCTGTGACTACACACGCCTGGAATTCCTGATCGGATCTCCTGACCTCTTCCTGCAAAACCCACCCACAGAAGAGGCCCTCTTAGACCGGGGCCCAACCCTCACACAGCCTTCTCCCACAGGTGGGGACAGAAGCACAAGTGCCCGTACAATCAGCCACCTTCACTTTCCACTTAGTAACAGAACCACCCTCTGTCCAGGTATACTGTATTTCTCAGCCTACTTTGCAGCAAGATGTGGCCAGATAAGTAAGTTCTGGTCAGGAAATGTAAGTAATACCTTGTAGGGCACTTTTAAAAGTATCCACACAGGAAAGAAGATGATCATCTCTGTTCTTGTTCCTGGAACACAGATGTGATTGCTGGATCTCTAATACCCCTCTTGGGCCATAAGGATAGAAGCTAAGAGTGTTGGGTGGTAAAACAGAAACAGGAGTTCGGGTTCTTGAGGGCACCTTACGAGATAACAGTCCTGGAATCCTCCCCTGGGAGAGATGCTGGCATTTGCATAGAAAGCCCTTCTCTCTTCCTCTCTGGATATGAACCTGAGTACTGCAGAGATGGGAGCCTGAGAGAGAAAGAACACCAAGAAAAGAGCTGCAAAGCCTTCGCGTGTATCCTGCAGGCCTCTCGAGATCCCTTTGGCAACAAGTGTGTGAAATCAGAACTTGGCATCCTGCACAACCAGGCACTCTGGCCTTCTAAGAGTCAATCAACAAACTTTTCTTATCACTCAATACAAGAAGAGGCAGAGTAACAGGAGCTATGGTGCACTTCAGGACAAACAGAAGGCACCCAAGTCTGGGGGCCAAAGGATCTTGAGACTTATTCCTGATGGGCCGCTGCCTTGGCTGTGACCTCTGGAGGTCACGGAACCTCCCTGGACTTCTGGCTCTTCCTCTCTAATGAAGGCAAACCAACACCCGCCCTACGAGGTGACCTACAGACTGGAGGGATGAAGTCTTTGAAGCACAGAAGAAGAATCGGCCACAGGAAGGGCTGAATAAATTACAGCTCTAGTTACTGTCACTCATAATACCACGAGGACCCAACAGCAACCTCGAACTGCACGAACAAGACCGCCAGAGGCAGCTGAGCGTGGTGGCTCACGCCCGTGATCTCAGCACCCGGGAGGCTGAGGCAGGAGGATCGCTCCAAGTCTGAGCCCAGGTTTGGCTACATAGGGAGACCATGTGTCAAAATAAATAAAATAAAATAAAATAAAATAATGGGGGACAAGGATGCACCTTAGCCTTGCTTTTTCATGGCCTTCTGGGGCGGGGTGGGGGGACGTTCACACAGGCTTCCCTCCTCCGCATAGTGGTGTCTGCTAATTACAAACGCATTTTCACACTTGGTTACAACAGGCTTGGCATTGATGCTTTCACGCGCATTTCATTAGCAGCGTGATAATGGACTGGGGGGGCAGGGGGAGCCACGCTACTGTACCACGCTCAGTCTCAACACTGCACCCCGCCCCTGCCCCCGGGACCCTGCGCCTCCCCTGCGGAGGGTGGCACGGCTTGCAGTCTGCTGCTGGGCGTGGAGCCCCAGCCTGCGTTCGGTCCCTGCCACTCCTGAGCCGGGCGGCAGCAAGCGGCTACTTACCCTCTCTGAACGCGGTTTTTCTCGTCTGGAAAATGGAGATAACAGTAACTCTCTCCTCCAGAGCTGGGCGAGGGCAAGAAGGAGCCAATGAGATCATGTAGTGAAGTGGCTGGAAAAGAAGAGAGGTTCCGTAATGGGCTTTCCAGAAGCCATTACATTAAGTAGGACTGTTATGTTCCCAAACATCAGAAAACCCAACTCAAACCGGCTTACGGGAAAACAGAAAAACTATGGCGAGGAGGGTGGTAAGGACAGAGTAATTGTCAGTCCCCAGAACTGAAAAGGCCACAGCTGTGCCAGCTGCAGCTACACTGTGTCATGAGGGGCCAGTTTCTCTCTATCTTACAATTTCCACTATGCTGGAAACTGTTCTCTATCTTGCAATTTCTGTTCTTGTTCCCTGTGTCGATTCCTAGCCACTCAACACTCTCCCTCCTGGTGACAACACGGCTGCAGAATCCCAGCCACTTATCTTCTCAAATACCAATGCATCCTTTGGATAGATCCTCCCTAAATCCTGAGATTTTTCTCTGATTGGAGCAGTTCAGCTACTCCCATCCACCTCTGAGCCAATCAGTGAAGCCTGGAAAACGCAGTGCTCTGATTGGCCAGACCCTGAGACGAAAACTGAAGCAGAGACCACAGTGTCCCACGAGCGCCCTCTACTGAGCAAGCTTTACATTTTGTACACTGTAACTGAAATATGCTTAAGGGAATTCTACTGCGGAATAGGCGTTGAAAGAGGACTTTGAAGCTGAGAGTTAATAAATCTGGATAACTGGCACACACCCTCGGGCCTGGCACCGAGGAGACATCTGCCTGGCAGAAGCTGAGGTCAGAAATTCATAGCAGTAGCCCAGAACCGGGAAGGAACAGTAATAAATTCCCAGCACTGATCTTTGGCTGGTATTGCCCTTGGAGAATCCAACCGGAAGCCATGCAGCTCCTAGCAATCAGTCTCTTTGGGGCAGCAAGACAGGCCTGTCCCCCGAGGGCTCATATGTTAGAGGCTTGGTCCTAGGGTGCCAATGCTGGGAGGAGGGGAAGCTGAGTGAAGGGGACAGTCACACGGATGGGCCCTCGGTGGTATTAATGGAGATCTTCCGTGACCCCAGCTAGTTCCTGAGAGTGAGCCGTTACACACAGTGAGCCCCACCCCCCAACTTCCTGTCTCCCCCAAGATCTCTCCCTTCACCCACATCCCACCAGGATGCTGTCACCATGATGCCACTTGGCCAAGGGGGCCTCACCAGAGCCCAGCAGATGTCGGCGCAGTGAACTAAGTTGCCTTTCTTCATGAAACCCCCAGCCTCGGGTACTGCACTCCAGGTATGGGCGCTAGGTTACCCGTCACCACCGGCATCCAAAGAAGGCACAGACAGAACAAGAAACTCGCCAAGGCCACCCTCAGCCAGGCCCATGGTGCTGCACCACGCGGTCCAGCAGCCCAGTTAGTTCCTGTGACAGCGACCTGTCTTACAAAGAGCAAACCTGTTGACAGGGACAGAGGGACGCTGCCCGGAGACGCCTGCCCTCCCCATCATCCCTGGGCGCTCCACGGCCAACGTGGTCCCTCCCAGGAATCCCGCCGAGCCTGCCTCTGCTTGCCCGAGAGAGGCAGGGAGAGGGAATCTTGCTGCAGTCTCCTTCCAGCTGTCCTCCTCGGAGAGGTCCCATCTCTGGGCCATCTTCATTTGCACACTGACCAGGCTTCTGCCAGGTGAAAAGAAAGAGCAGTAAGAGGAGGAGGAAGAACGCAAGATGCAATCAACCGCACTGCACCCAAGCAGGGGAACCGAGTAATTGAAAAGCAACCCAAATAAAGGCTCCTGCGATGGGTGCTGTCTGCTTTGCGTGTGGATTTTAAACAGCAGCACAGTCTGCAGCCGATCTGCACCGCAGAGCCAAGGCCTGGGTGATCCCGTGGTGAGGAGAGCGGGCTGTGTTTGCCTCAGGAGATGCAATTGGGCTTTTTGGGCAGCCAGGGCTCCTCTCTCCTGGTTATGGTTGCAGGCGGCTGCTTTGCCATGAGTTGAGTATTCTAGTGTCATTTCCCAAAGGGTGCTCCACGCACCAGGGGCACCGGCGTCCCTGAAGCTTGTAGGAAATGCAGACCACTCCCGCCACCCCCAGGCCCACACCGGCCCTGAGGGAACAGAGTGAGAGTTTCACCCAGAAGCCCACAGCTTGATCAGTGTGTGTGGTTAAGTGTGAGAAGTGCTGGTCCAAACCCACTCTGACCAGCGGAAGTGAGGGGAGGTCACTTTCTACCAGGACAACCGACCCTCCTGGCTTCCCCAGGGCTTTGCTACTTGCAGCCCTCAAAGTCCTGCACAAACCAGGATGGCTGGTCGCTCAGGCTACTGCCCAGCCCTCCGCCACCAGCATCCGAAGTTGAGATGCTGAAATCCCAAAAAGATGCCCCTGCTCCACCTGAGCCCGAGCTGAAGTCCAGAGGCCCAGGGGAGCTCCTGCTCCCCTCTCACCCCCTCCTCTTTCTCAGAAACCCCAGGAAAGCCGACGTTGGCCACGAGCAAGTGGAGAGGCCTGGCCCAAGCAGCTGTTCCTGACGCACTAACGGCTCACGTCCAGTCCGCCCTGGCCTCTGGCTGCCCCCTCCATGCTTTTCCCATCTTCTCGGCCCTCCCCACTTGCAGCGACCTCACTGTGACAGCCGCTCCTCCCAGGGGAAGTTGTCAAGGGCCACCAAAGCCACTCTGGGGCGGGAGGATTTGTAGACCAGGGATTCTTCCCCAGGCTCTGCAGGTTCTAGGCCCTGCTCAGTCTAGAATCTTCTGGAGGCTTGAATCCTCTGAATCCCCAAGACACTTCTCTCCCCAGCCCACCCCTACCCCCAAAGGACTTGGGAAACTAGACAGGGACCAGAAACACACAAACAGCTGAAAGGTGCAAATGTGCGAACCAGGGCGCCAGACCTCAGACTGGGACCCGGGGCGGGGCTAGAGGCTGCCGGCGTGGCCACCCCAGCAGGACGCGGCCAGTGGACTGCATGAAAGAGGCTTCTTCCCGCGCTCTGTCTTCCTCACCAGTAAACAGGCCCTGTGTTGTGGATAAACACGCACGTCGGAAAGCTGTTCCAAGAATAAAGCGGGTCACTGCACGTAAACGGCGTGGACGGGCGCTGGGCACCTAGGAAGCCTTCTGTTAATACTGTACAAATACCAGTATCTGCTGAGCACGCTCCCAGAAGTTTCATCCCTGTGAGTGTCAGAGTTAAGTTCAGGGTTTGCAATGAAACTGTTTCTGGCTTTGTTGTTTTGGCGCCAAATAACCTTCCAGTTCTGAATTCCAGCTCCTCCCACACTTGGACTCACTTCCCCAGCATCCCTTGCAGCAGGGCTCAGACATGTGACAAGAGATGCACCAATCAGACGCAGCCACCAGTAAGACCAGAAAGAGGCGGGGTCCCGCAGAATCCCTCCTCCTCTCCGTGCCTTGATAGTGCTTAACAATCACTCCACGAGGGCGGAGTGCTAACTCTGAAGGGTGCGGAACTCTTCAGCCACACTCAGCTGCGGTAGGCTCAGCCCTCCACACCAGCTGCTCCTATCTTTTGCAGAAGTGTAGCTGGGAGCAGATTCACTCACTTCATTTAACAAGTATCTATTGGCTGAGCACTGTAGCACACACTGGTAATCCCAGCACTGAGAGGCTGAGGCAGGAGGATCGCCAGGAGTTGAAACCAGCCTGGACTACGTAGGCATGGTGATGCACGTCTGTAACTCCAGCAATCGGGAGGCTGAGGTCTGGAGTTCAAGACCAGTCTGGGTTACGGAGTGAGTTCATGGCCATTCTAAACTACAGAGCAAGACCCTGACTCAAAAAAAAAAAAAAAAAAAAAAAGTAGCTGTTCTTTGCCACGTCCTGGCGCAAGCACAGGGTTATATCAGCAAATAAAACCTGCAAACTCCTGACCTTGTGGGGTTTGCATTTCATTCAGGAAAGTCAGACAATACACAAAAATTATATAAGTTAGCCATTGATAAGGTAAAAAATACAATCCAGGGGATGGGGCCTGCACCTGTGGGGGGGGGGCATCCAGGCACTTCCTCTCTCCTAAATACAGAGCTGCCCGAGGGTGACGTACTGACCCCTCCTCCTTCCTTTCCTGTTTCGGATGCTGTCCTGAGCAAATGGGGTGCCTGGAGCATGGCCACCATCATGTGACTCAGGCATCAGGCAATGGATGGAGCCACCACACCAAGGAAGGACGGGCAGGGGCGGCGTGGCCTTGGGTTCTGTGCATGTGCTGCCTCTAGGTAAACGCGACACTCTTCAGGCACCAGGGCTGGGCTCTGCTAACTGCAGCCTGCAGCTGTCTGGCTGATAATGCTAACCACTTCCTGGCTCCAAGAAGCTCAGTGCAAACTGGGTAAATCACAACACACTCTTGTGTGACTGCCCCTTGTGAAAGGAAACTCCTTTCCCTCTGGTGTCTGAAGAGGTGTCTGTCTCCAGTTGAGCCCCGACTGAGTAGCTCCATCACTCAGGGCGGTGTTACATGAGAGTTCCTGCGGTGGGTTAACTAAAGGTCAGCTTGTAACACCCAGCTGAGCTGAGTAGGGTGGTGCCTGGTGTGGAGGGCCCAGCTGAGCATTGTGGGCAGCAGCATAACAGGAGACCTGGAGGGGAAGGTGGTGCTGTTGATCCACCTGGAGAAGCTTGTCACACTGACTTTCCTGATATGAACTTGGCTGTTCTCATCGTCAGAGGAGCTCGGGTCTTTGCTGTTGCTGAGGATGGCTGTGGTTCTTTTTGGGGGAGCCCTAGTCCTTACCTTGAGCATCACTTCCCGGCTCCAGGGCAGATCCCTCAGCCGCTGGCCCAGCTCCTTCACCCCGCTGGTGCAGACTTTCTAGCTTCTGCCGCTGACCTTTGGGCCTTCCCAGTGCAGATCCTTGATATAGACTTGCATGAGACATTGTGGGCTCTCAGCCTCCAGCTGGACTCATGCAGGCCATTGCTGTGGGGTCCAGGCCCTCAGCTGGATTCTTTGGGTCTCTAGTGCGTGGCCAGATCGCCTGCACGCTTCTGCATCTGACTGTTCAGGTGAATATTATAAAATAATCCTATAACTTATGTGTCCCTTATCTTTCCTCTTGCGAGCCCATGACTACAACAGTTCCCGGCTTTAAAGACAGTCACAACCAACCCAGCAAGACACGAGCACCACCGAGTCTGGCAGGAGGGAAGTCCTGGAGCTTGTTTGAATGCCAAGTCCCCATCTCTGCCTCCTCGGAGCTTTCGCTGACCTGGGAGGGGCTCGGTGTGTTCGCTTGGCCCCTCTGGGCTGCAGCGCCTTGGCCATGCTCCATGGTACTTACAAGCCCGTGCCCTACTTTCCCTATCCGTATGCTGTGCCCAGTGCTCCGAGTGTGGTCAGGGCCTGCAGCCTGAGCATCCCCAGGAGCCTGGAGAAATACACGCCTAAGACTGGCCACGCCAGACCGCAGGTGCTCTAGGTGCTTAGTGGACTCAAGGCCAGGTGTCCGCACTTGGGGTAAACCGGTTCATAGGGTCCCATAGGGACCTATGCCTACGAGCAGCGCCAACCACAAAGCCAAGCTGCACACCCAAGGGGACAAAGGGGAACCCAAGGTCTGATTTCCTCTGACTCCAGAGATTTCTCTTTTGAATTAGCATCAAACAGCACACAGCGGACCCCAGTGACCACCAGCGCCATTTTCCAGTTCCAGAACATTTCCATCCTAGCAGGAGCCCCGGCCTCAGGAGCAGCTGCTCCCTGTTCCCCCACACCCGTCCACTGGCCTGCCTTGTGTCTCCTCTGATTTGCTCTCTCCAGCCCTTCCATCTAACAGGCCTTTCCCCTGGCTTCTTTCACGTAATGTTTTCCAAGTCCGTCCGTGCTGTGGCATGGACCCGTGTTCCGTCTCTGTCCATGGCTGTGTTTATCCACGCGGCTGTTAACGGGGGTTGGGGCTGTTTCCTAGTTGGCCGCTGTGGCTAGGGCTGTGATCTCCAGATTCCCTGGTCACTCGCTTCTGAAGGAGGCGGGTGGTCGGCTCCACTCCCGCTTTGCCTCTTCCTAGTGGACAAACCCACAGAAGGGCCTTGGCCCTGTGAGCCTGGCGTCACCAGCACGGCATGTGGCAGGGGGGGTGACCGGTGAATGAGGTAACAGGTCACACTGCTGGGGACTGGGGGTCCCTCACCATGCCGTTAGGCTTTCACAGAGACGGAGCCCCAGTCACACCGGGCCACAGCCAGCCCAGGGAAGGTGGGCAGCTCGAGGCATTGTAAGTCACCAACCTCTTAAAACCTGGAGCTCCTACAACAAAATCTAGGTATCTGCTTTCTCAACAGCTCTGGGCCTGTAATCCTGCCAAGCAGCCGTCAGAATCACTTCAGGTGAGCACCGTTCCCTACATCCCGAGGCCTTTTCCACTCATTGCATTCCCTGCGTGAGCCCTGATTAATACTGGGAAGGAGGAAGGGGAAAGAGGTTTGCAAGCAAATTGGCCTGAGCTTCCTTTACCCATAGCAGGTGCTGCACGAACGTCTACTCCCCTCCCGCCTTTATAATGCGTTTGGACCCACGCGTGTTTGTTTGCCTGAAACACATGAGCTCAGCCTGCAGTGCAATGGCCTGGACGGTTGGAGACATGTTGTTCGTTCCTTGTCCTACACCCCCACCTACTGGTAGTGTGAAGAATTACAACCTAGGATCAAAATAAGTGTCGAAAAATACCCAGATTTACATACTCCGGAAAGGACCCTCGGCGTGCCTGGTCTCCTGGAAGCAGTTCTCTCCAAGTGCCTCTTTATTCCGTGTTTTTTTGGCCCCTCCATATGGGCAG